GGTGGTCACCAAAGAGGACACTCCCTTGGAGGTGGTCACCGAAGAGGAAGAGGACACTCCCTTGGAGGTGGTCACCGAAGAGGACACTCCCTTGGAGGTGGTCACCGAAGAGGACACTCCCTTGGAGGTGGTCACCGAAGAGGACACTCCCCTGGAGGTGGTCACCGAAGGGGACACTCCCGAAGAAGTGCCCCGTAGAGCTCCTGCCCAAAAGCTCCGGGCCAATAGGCCTCCTCACCAGGCCAAGAATACCTTGGTCCCAGGGGCCAAAGGTCATCTCAAATCATACGTTGAGCACCGAGCATACATGGTCGCTGAAGCCCGTAAAGCTGCTGCCCAACAGGGCCGGGCCATGGCCAATGAGCACCGCCTGAAAACTCGGACCAAGAATACCTTGGTCCCAAGGGCCACCGAAGGGGATACTCCCCAAGAAGTGCCCCGTAGAGCTGCTGCCCAAATGTTCCGGGCCAATAGGCCTCTTCACCAGGCCAAGAATACCTTGGTCCCAGGAGCCAAAGGTAATCTCAAATCAAAGGCTGAGCACCCAACTAACACGGTCGCTGAAGCCCGTAAAGCTGCTGCCCAACAGGCCCGGGCCATGGCCAAGGAGCGCCGCCTGAAAACTGCATGAAACAAAAGTGATTATTAATCCACGTTGTTTTCTTTTTGTTTATGTTTTTGTGTAAACTAAAAATGAAGTATAAATTAATATTATTTGTATTATTACTCCACAAATAACTTATAAAGCATCTCCTGCATACAATTCTTACTGCACTTACTTATATCACATATATACAGAACTGGTAATACCTGGGTATAAATAACACTTTAAAATAGCCCAACTCTCATACACAAACATATCACTCACCGGGGTATTCTGTCTTGCTGCCCAAGCATTTTCCTAGTTTAAGGCCAACAATATATATATATATATATATATATATATATATATATATATATATATATATATATATATATATATATATATATATATATATATATATATATGCTTTAAACCACAAGGAAAGAAGAAAACACGAAGTCCCCAAGCGCTTTCGTGTAATTCACATCTTCAGGGGTGAGTTAACTTTTGAGAAAAGGAAAGGGTAAAGGAAAGAGAGAGAGAGAAGGCCATCAATAGTAATCATTCGGGAAGTTTAGCTGTGAAAGATAAAATTACACTCAGTCTAATTGAACTGCCGCGTCTATGCCAGAGTTTACTACAAAGTCCCTAGTGTGTCTCCCCCCCCTCTCTCTCTCTCTCTTTCTCTCTCTCACACACACACACACACACACACACACACACACACAGGGTGACCCGGTCCAGCACGTGTCATAGACCACAGCTGGGGTGGGGAGGACAAGAATTTAATACCAGCCTCCAGGGGTAAAAGTGAATTTCATTGGTAAAAAATGGGAGACAGTTACTTATAATGTGAGTTAGGCAGTTAGGCAGAACGGCAGGCAGGCACATACATACATACATACATACATACATACATACATACATACATACATTCATAAATACATACATACATACATACATACATACATACATACATACATACAGAGAGAGAGAGAGAGAGAGAGAGAGAGACATCCTCCTACACTCAGAATATGGTCTGACATCCAAGACGTGACCTACCTACTATCACACATCATGTATCTCTGTGTGGCAGGGAGGGAAGACAGGGAGAATAGGGAGGGCAGGGAGGAGAGGGGATTGAGACTAGAGAGGGCAGGGTGGGAAGAAAAGGGAGAGGGAGACTAGAGGGCAGGGAGGAGAGAGGGGGAATAGTAGGGAGGGTAGGGAGGAGAGGAGAGGGATAGTAGGGAGGGCAATGAGGAGAGGGGAGAGATACTGGGGAGGGAAGATAGGGAGATCATCACTACACAGTTCATAGCATCACTATACATCATCACTATAGTTCACATCATAACTACTCAGTTCATAGTGTCACTACACATCATCACTACACAGTTCACAGCATCACTATACATCACCACTATAGTTCACATCATAACTACATAGTTCATAGTATCACTAAACATCATCAGTATAGTTCACATCATAACTACACAGTTCATAGCATCACTATACATCATCACTACAGTTCATATCATAACTATGCAGTTCATAGTATCACTACACATCATCACTACACAGTTCATAGCATCACTATACATCATCACTATAGTTCACATCATAACTACATACTTCATAGTAACACTACACATCATCCCTGCACAGTTCATAGCATCACTATACATCATCACTATAGTTCACATCATAACTACATAGTTCATAGTATCACTATGCATCATCACTACACAGTTCATAGCATCACTATATATCATCACTATAGTTCATATCATAACTACACAGTTCATAGTATAACTACACATCATCACTACACAGTTCAGAGCATCGCTATACATCATCACTATAGTTCATATCATAACTACACAGTTCATAGTATCACTACACAGCATCACTACACAGTTCATAGCATCACTATACATCATCACTATAGTTCATATCATAACTACACAGTTCATAGTATCACTACACATCATCACTACACAGTTCATAGCATCACTATACATCATCACTATAATTCACGTCATAACTACACAGTTCATAGTATCACTACACAGCATCACTACACAGTTCATAGCATCACGATACATCATCACTATAGTTCACGTCAAAACTACACAATTCTTAGTATCACTACACATCATCACTACACAGTTCAGAGCATCGCTATACATCATCACTATAGTTCATATCATAACTACACAGTTCATATTATCACTACACAGCATCACTACACAGTTCATAGCATCACGATACATCATCACTATAGTTCACGTCAAAACTACATAGTTCTTAGTATCACTACACATCATCACTACACAGTTCATAGCATCACTATACATCATCACTATAGTTCATATCATAACTACACAGTTCATAGTATCACTACACATCATCACTACACAGTTCATAGCATCACTATACATCATCACTATAATTCACGTCATAACTACACAGTTCATAGTATCACTACACAGTTCATAGTATCACTATACATCATCACTATAGTTCATATCATAACTACACAGTTCATATTATCACTACACAGCATCACTACACAGTTCATAGCATCACGATACATCATCACTATAGTTCACGTCAAAACTACACAATTCTTAGTATCACTACACATCATCACTACACAGTTCATAGCATCACTATACATCATCACTATAGTTCATATCATAACTACACAGTTCATAGTATCACTACACATCATCACTACACAGTTCATAGCATCACTATACATCATCACTATAATTCACCTTATAACTACACAGTTCATAGTATCACTACACAGTTCATAGTATCACTATACATCATCACTATAGTTCATATCATAACTACACAGTTCATATTATCACTACACAGCATCACTACACAGTTCATAGCATCACGATACATCATCACTATAGTTCACGTCAAAACTACACAATTCTTAGTATCACTACACATCACTACACAGTTCATAGCATCACTATACATCATCACTATAGTTCATATCATAACTACACAGTTCATTGTATCACTACACATCATCACTACACAGTTCATAGCATCACTATACATCATCACTATAGTTCACATCATAACTACATACTTCATAGTATCACTACACATCATCACTACACAGTTCATAGCATCACTATACATCATCACTATAATTCACGTCATAACTACACAGTTCATATCATAACTACACAGTTCATAGTATAACTACACATCATCACTACACAGTTCACAGCATCGCTATACATCATCACTATAGTTCATATCATAATTATACAGTTCATAGTATCACTACACAGCATCACTACACAGTTCATAGCATCACGATACATCATCACTATAGTTCACGTCAAAACTACACAATTCTTAGTATCACTACACATCATCACTACACAGTTCATAGCATCACTATACATCATCACTATAGTTCATATCATAACTACACAGTTCATAGTATCACTACACATCATCACTACACAGTTCATAGTATCACTATTCATCATCACTATAGTTCATATCATAACTACACAGTTCATAGTATCACTACACAGTTCATAGTATCACTATACATCATCACTATAGTTCATATCATAACTGCACAGTTCATAGTATCACTACACATCATCACTACACAGTTCATAGCATCACTACACATCATCACTACACAGCTCATAGTATCACTACACATCATCTCTCCACAGTTCATAGCATCACTACACGTCATCACTGTAGTTTACATCATCACTCAGCTCTGTAGTAGCGGGTAACCTCTTACTACATTCTTTCACAAGTGCCTGAGGAACCTAGGGCTCCTGGGGTGCCTTTATTATATATATATATAAAACATTTTCTTTCCAAAATGTGCGATCAGTACAAAAGATTTTTACAAGAAGCCACCAGTCAACTCCGAGGCATGGACGCCGAGTTAGCCAAGACTTACAACACTTTAAGTGGTGTAAGGGTTGTGGGCTACAGCGTCTCCCTTGAAATTCCCGCCAACACAAACCTAAACTTTGTGGTGGATAAAATTGCAGATCTGGAAGACTTCCGTTCTAACAACAAGACCGTAGTACAAGGATGCGCGTATCTACGGGAAGAGGTAAAAATACTGGAGAAGATTCCAGACAAGGGGATAATGTTTTATTATTCCGCCATGACCGGAAACCAAACTAAGAACGGGTACGTCAAATTTGAATATGTGGTGATTCCACCACTGGCGTTGCAGAAATTCAAAATTTGTTTCAAAAAGGAAAGTTTCGATAGAGAAACTATTTGCGTAATGCATTACTTTATTACCGACTCACTGGCCCGCCTGGCCCGCTGCACCACAACAAGTGAGAGTCCCCAGGTGACCGCCGAAGGGGACACTCCCCAGAAGGTGGTCACCGACAGTGAAACCCCCCAGGAGGTGGTCACCGACAGTGAAACCCCCCAGGAGATGGTCACCGGCAGTGACACTCCACAGGAGGTGGTCAACGAGAGTGACACCCTCCAGGAGGTGGTCAACGACAGTGACACTCTCCAGGAATTAGTCAAAATGGGAGAACACGACAAAGTTTTTTTACTGGCAGCTGCTAGCAAACTCCGTAGGGTGGTCGACGAGTTAGCCGAGGCTTACACAAATTTAAGTGGTGTAAGGGTTGTGGGCTACAGCGTCTCCCTTGAAATTCCCCCCAACACAGACCAAAACTTTGTGTTAGATAAAATTGCCGATCTGGAAGACCTCCATTACCACAACACGACCGTAGTAAATGGATGCTCGTACCTATGGGACGAGGTACAAAACCTAAGAATTTTACCAGACAAGGGGATAATGTTCTATTATTCCGCCAAGTGCGGAAGACAAACTGAGCAGGGGTACGCCAGATATGAATATGTGGTGTATCCTCCAGTGGTGTTG